CCATTTGAGTTAAAATGAATATTTTTAAACATTGGCTGGTTTCAAACCTCGCCTTCATTTTGAAGATGATTAGCTTAAGTTTCGTTCTGCTACTACTGCACGTGACCTCAGTGTTGAAATACTGTTTCAGTCAAATCAGTTCAAATCGGTCGAACTGCGTCACTACCACATGAAGCTGGCACCGACTATTATTTCAGCAACAGATTGACACTTGAGTGTTGTTACTGGGTCCATGTTGCTAGCATTCGTTTTGCAGGTCGATCGAATGATGCGCGACTGTGCCGAAGAACTACAGCCGTTCAACGTTACTTGTGTCAGCCTGTGGCCTGGACTTGTGAACACTGAGATTTTCCAACAAAATGCCGAAAATCTTGATGCTAGTATTCTTCGCGATGTTAGAGTAAGAGATTCTTGTTTTTCAGTTATTCCTGTATCGTCATCATGTGTTTACAGGAAGGTTATGAAAGTCTATTCAAATTCGCTGAAAGCACAGAATTTTCTGGAAAAGCTGTCGTTTCTCTCGCTACAGGTTTGTATTTCTCTATTCTTTGTTTTCGATGTCTTCGCTCTTTAAATCTAGGCATTAATAACAGTATTTCTCACAATACTTGTCTCTCGTCTGATCGATTGGCCTTTTGTAGAATGCCGAGTGTGGCGTTTTGGCACAGTTGTCTTAGTGGTCTGCTTCGAACACTGGAGGTGCCGGGTTCGACTCTGAGGAGACTTTTTTCTTGAGGGCAATCCGTGCATTCCCTTGATCAAGGAATTTGCCACACATTGTTTAAAACCGGGGTTGCTGGAGCATCGAATTCAAAACCGTTGGTCCCGAGTTCAAGGCCGGGTTAGAGTCACTCGTCATTCTTGCTTCTGAGGTTGAAAAATGAGTACCACTCTCTGGGAATAAAAAATAGAACTACGTCCTACGCCTGCCATATGACTGTAGACTTTGCCTTTAACAAAACAAAACACTCCTGAGTGATGGCATAGAAACGGAAATCAGCAGGGTACCATCAACTCGAAGAAAAGAAGGGCACTGAAACATCCCAATATGAATGTGAAGAAAGACCGACATTCCGACAGTATAACGGTGCAATTTTTCACTAACTTTTGGTGGTTAGTCAGTCAATCAGTCAATTTCTATGACCGCTTATTTTTTTGTGCCGTTTGACAGCAGCACCAAGCGTTCCCAGTCCTGCACGATTGTCTGAGCTTCGGCAGAAAAACACCCACCTGATTGGAGCTCTTATTTAACCGATTGACCCTAAGTGTTAGTGCAGCCAAAAAATTGGAAATCCTTTGCTTTTCCACTTAAGATTCGTCGTCTAGGAATAGCCAAGTATGGTTTTATGAATGCCGTATTTTAATTTGATTCTGCTAGCATCTGATATTTTATAGTTCATCATTTATTTAGATCCCAATATATTTCGCAAAACTGGCCAAACGCTCATGACAGCTGATTTGGGCGATGAGTATGGATTTACCGATGTTGATGGTATGATTTGCCGCTTTTATTTCATGCGCATCTATGTGTTTTTGTATAAACTTACATACTAATTGTATATCTGTCAACTAAGAGACAATAGAACTTTTCTTAGAGTCATCTTCAAACTTTTTTAGCATGGCAGTGCTTTAATAACGTGTTTCACTGTCAAGAGTGTGCTCTGCTAAGTGGCAGAACTCATTTGAAGGTGACTTTAACGACATTGTGGTTCAGTCACATTATACGCTGATTCATACTGAAATTGTTTCTGAGTGTTTAAGCAAGTCGTGACTTTGTAGTAGTAAAGGCGCTGCACATCTGGGTGCATCTCGTATCATTTCACTTTCTACAGCAGCACTATTTACTCATTCGCTATATTCTTCTATTAGTGTTATGATTAGAAGGTAACCGGACAAGAGCCCTTTGGTCAATAACCCCTCGGACAAAAACGAATTAGAAAATGAATATATTTCTCGATTTTATATTTTACAGCACGAACATGCGCTATGCCCATTTAAATATAGTTGAACATTTCATCAAAATGGTTGTAATATTTTAAATAGGATTTTTTCTATTCATTTACCTGTATAAGCGCAGTCCAAGCGAGGCGGTTATCATTCGGGTGTTGTCCGAAGTGGCCGATTGTTTCAAAATGATGTGATATCTGGTGCCTTTTGTATAAGATGATCGACTAAGATTTTTGTTTGTTCAGTGCACTTCCGCCAAAATCTTTTTCCACTCAGAGTACGGCTGTTTGAAGTCTGATTATGTTGCAGAGAGTAATTCCGAATTCTTTCCGAATATTCTGGAAAACGGATAGGGTAGTCAGTCTAAACTGACTGACGGATCACTTGGCTTTTGGGTAACGTTTTATGCCTGTATTCGTAGCGCATTTTGAGTCTGGTTTTTATGTTTAAGACTTATTCTATCATGTTATAACGTCATTTTCTGTAGGAGTACGCAAGAAAAGTGTCCGTTCGCTAAAAACAATGCTGGAATTAAAAAAGTACTCACGAATGGCGAACTGGGTACCCTACGGTCTGAAAGTGCCATCTTTTGCGTTTAATTATTTGTGCGCTCGTTTCTGATACTCTTTTCGTTAATATTTATTTTCAGATGTCATATAAATTCAGTTCAGACGTAGTTTCGTGTCCAGTTAATTTTTTGTATTTTAATTCGTTTTTTATAATTAAAAAACTACCGCGTCATTTTCGATGTTCATTGCGACCAGCATGTATATGTTTTATCTATGTGAATAAACTTTCTTGTCACTAGTTTCAGGCAGTTTTTGACGTCGATGGCCGAGCAGCCTGATCAGATGTAACCTAACTGTAAACATTAGCAATGGTTTGTACTTTCACCGCTATTGCCTTCGAATCTTGATCCGAATCCTTCACCGGTATATCTGTCAAACGTTTCGTTGTTTTATCATGTTCTTTTCACTGCTGGAATTCCAGCAATCTTGATTTGTTGTCTAGCGATTGTGTGTCGACATACCATACTATATGATATATTGAGAGAGGGGGAGATTCTTAGCGCAGTTTGACAAATCGTAGTCCGTCAACCCTTCGCATCACCCGCTAGCTTCTCATGTAGCAACTGAAGCACAGCAAACGTCGACCATGAGGCCAGCAGGTAACGTCGATGAACGGATAGAAGATGCATACGTGCGTTCAAGGAGGAATCGTTCGTAGCAGCGATGTTATTAGCACCTGTAAAGGTAGGAAGACGACGGAAGCCTGCAGTACCTTCAGTTTGTTTTCACGGACAACACGTGTTTTTTTGACTTATTATCAGTTACTGATGGCGGTTCGAGAATGACGTTTGCTAGTAAATGAGTTTGATCGAACTGGTAATGACCATGACTTGATCAGCAGCTGTAGGTACTAGTGAAATCTAAGAATCTTGGTAATGCGAAGTAACTGATTTTATCATAAGCCCTTCTAGTGGTTCATTCATAAAGAGAGATGGAAAGTTGGGAATGTAGCGGATTGCAAACCAAACTATCAGCAACTGCAAAGGTCTATGATCCACGAAGAACTAAACATGCCATGTGTAATTAAATGCTAAATTAAAGCTAATCGGCTAAATTAATTGTAGTGGCGAGTACCATCGCTTGCATAGTAAAAAAATATGAAATATTTCCCAGTCGCTACTGACGACTTTTGCGCGAGCAGATATAATGTTGTGTTAAACTAGTTTCCGACCAATGACGGAACTTCTCTTATTGAGTTCTAATTATTTTCAAAAAAAATGTTCCATTGCAGCCAGCCGACAGACCAGCAAGGTTGTAACCTGCGAACTACCAGAACAGTAGCGGAAGTTAGCTGCAGTAGTTGTATGCTAATCAGCCACGCACCTCGTTTCAGCGCCAAAATGAGACCGGTAATTTGTTTGGTAGAAACGAACTCTGCGTCAACTAGGCAAAGCTGCGCTCGTTGATTGTAGCTCACGTATTGTGTAAAGCTGAAAAATGTGTAGCAGCGTTTATTTTAGCTCCTCTTCGTCATACAGGTAATTAACATGCCTCTGTTAACAGTGTACTAGTTCTACTAGTATTTGTAGGACCAAATAAGCTGTGATCAAAAACTATTGTCATTAATTTAATGGCCATATTCCGGTTTGCATCGAGTTACAGATAAGCTCATGAAGGCTTGTTTGTTCATTTGGCATGATCGCAAACGTAGGCATGAAGTATACAGCTATCCTAGTGATTTTGAGCGTCACCTCATCCTATATTGACGGTAAGTGAAATTTAGATGTTGTGCTTTTAAGCATTCTGCGGTTAAGCTACCGAATATTTTGTAAACTTTTTTACATTAACAATTGTTTAATTAAAACAATAGCACAACTGTAATATCTTATCTTTTCCTTTCGATCTGAATTCGTTCACCTCTATCGCTTTCGAAGTAAGATCGGATTAAAAGTCATCTCTAAGAAAGGAATCACCTTGCGCAACATCTTGTATGGCGAATATTTCATAACATACGATCTGCTTAAAAATTCGGTTGTTTATTTATTAAATCAATTGTCAAGACTGTCAAAAAAATAAATCGGTATGACAAAAGACCGGTTAAAACTCATCTAAAAGAGTACGTGGTTATTTTTGAGTATGGAAATGAGGAACTTCGGCTGTTGTAAGGCATGCTATTGATAATTTGCATCGTTTAGTACCAAGGATGTAAAGACCTTGGATCGTGAAAACACCACTGCTGGTCTCATGGTACGGGAATCGGCCTTCATTAAAGCTTTTGACGCAGCCTGTGTTAACGATAAATTAAGCTTAAATGATTTATCTTCTAGTTGGAACCTTATCTTCAAAGATTTAATCTCTATCTTTTATTTCGATTTTCTGTTTCACATCTTTATTTTTTTGTCCTTTGTTTTTTCCTGTTTTTCTTCTTCCTTCTAAATTTTTTTCCATTTATTTCACCTCATTTAATGAATGGTTTTATTATTTGTCTACGGTACAGTGCTTTAATTGTAAACTTCTTGATCTCTATGACTACGATATCTTCGCCATTCTGTATACCATAATTTGTGCTGAAGGAGGGATACCTTTCTGGGTTTCGAAAGCGTCACTTATTATAATGTTTTATTCCAGGCTTCAAACCACGTTTTCTCTTTATCTATGATCACGGCGTTTTTTTTTGCCTCACAGCTCAAGGATCTGATCCAAATACGGTAGCAACATTTCATAACTTGCAGTAAACTCGTTTGCGAGCGAACTACTATTCTCCTATGCAAGTAACAAGTTTTGATTATGAAAGATTAGCAGAATATAAGCCTCAGATGCTATGATTATCTCAGTTTGTAAAGGTTGCACCCAAATAGTTCAATTAGCAGCTCAGTGGGTTGCAGCATTTTATTAGCTAGTAGGCAATAATGGACGTAAACATAATATAGCCACTGATCCTGTATGAGGAAAAACCAAATATCGTGTCACTTCACCGTATTCACATGGCTTCCATGCTACTAGATACCTGCGGGACCTTTTCAGCACGCCATAACTCGATGATACTGAAACATAGAGTGTCAATTCCATACCGCATTTCATTGCTCGGTCAAACAAATGCGCGTTCGAATATTGAGGTTCTGTAGGTACGTAGAAACTGTGCAATTACGTCGTACTGATCTTGTATGAAGTGAAAAAATATTGTTTTAGCGTGCGACATCGTAAAGCTGCTGGCCTCAGAATATCTGGGTAATTAATGGTGCACGGGAAAAGGAAATTTGCTGTTACAATTGTTAAATGGAGTTCGATAGGTAAAATAAAGGATCCTTTGTGCTTGTCCAACTCCTGTAATTCGAACAGCAAAGAAAATTGATTATTCGACTGATTCGACAAATTGTATCACTCGCATATCTTTCTTTGATGAAGCCAACCAAAGGTAGTGCAATGACGTTTCAACATACTGCAGCATAACTCTGGATACGTATTTTTAGAATCCTTGTACATTCCAGAAAAATGTACTTCAGACAGGAACAACGTGGACTCAGGCGAGGACCTAGTACAAGATAGTAAGGGTAGATGGGTTGTTCTCTCGGACAGATCACATCAGGAAGTAGACCAGAATATATATCACCATCGTAACAGAGGGTCTAACAAGATTATGAACAAAGACGATGTGAGCGGCTAGAGGCAGTGCGGTGCATTATACATTGAAAAAAATCATGCTGATTCATTGGTTGATCTACTGATCGACCAGTGATTCACCGTTGCGGACGATATTCCCACTTCACAAGGAATATGAATCTTCTTATGTGAAGGTTAGCCGTGTCTGATGTCAGAACTACGGCTGGTGCAAGCGACTATCCTTCATTTTTTGGCTGCAATCCTTTGCTCTAAGTCAAGGAACTGAGTCATTGGAAACCGTCTTGATCAAGATTTTTCACTAGCGAAAATAGTATACACTGTCTTTGGCAGGGGAGCGGACAGTTGCGCAGTGGGTTCGTAGTTTGCATTACACTTTAGAGGTGCCGGCTTGAAACGAACGGACGCCGTAAATTTTCTCGTAATGCTAATTACGCTAATCAAGCGATGCGTCCTAGTGTGCTGCAGTGCAACCAGCCGAAAAACGGGTAGCGGTCACTGACATGTGAATAATAAGGACAGCATGGTGCTTCGTGTGGTCATGCCAAAAGTAGGGTGACATGCAGCCGTCCTTTTCGATACGGTGCAAACATAGATTAAATTATAAATTTAATAAAATAATTGTGTGATTTTCTACCGGCAGTATTCCTCAGTAAAATGTGTTGCTGCCAAAAAAGTGTCAAATTATAATAGCAGTATAGCCAGACTGTAGATTTTCCTTTTTCGGTGAGCGTAACCTTACCAATTAATGAAAAATCAGCCATTAAATAGGGTTACTCATTTCCGGAGACCGAACTTTTTCGTAAACCCGAAAATCTTGTTTAATAACAATACATTTCTAAAATCTAGTTGCTCCGAGAGAGATGATTATTTTCCCTGTTGGCGTTATTGAAATACACTGCCATTTGTCCTAGTTCGTGTAAAACCCCAGAAGCGAATTAACGGTATTATGCGCGTTGAGACTTTAATACCAGCAATCTAGTAAATGTGATCCTGCTTAAAGAAACATATTGTATTACATGATTACCATAGTTTGTCCAAACGTTCTACTGTATGGTGGCCACCATTCTTCCCACCTCAGATTGTGTACTGTGCCATCCATCAATCTTCCAGGAAAAACTGGATACACGTGACATCTAAATTCCGGCGACGTCTATCATGCAATATTTTCCAGCATCTGATGATCTGACGAAGTAGAGCGTTTCCCGGTTCTCTTCGTTTTATGATCTCTACGATCATCTCTCTAACGTCATTTTGAGCCAGTGAACCTTCAGTTCTTGTTGAGGGGCAAAACTTTTGATGAAACCGTTCGATCTCGCTTTCTTCAGGGGCTAAAACCGGTGGTGGCCAGAATTTCTTTTGTCCAAAGTTAGAAGCAGTATCTTTTGGTTCGACTATTTGAAGAAGATAAAACGATGATAAGGTAATCGATTCATTACCATTTATAACGGCCGAGAAGACATTTTTTTCGTACTTCGTCCATGTCTGCTTTCTACTGCACGCACTCGAAGTTGCATTTCTGGATACTTAAAGATGCACAGGCAAACCAATAGGTTAATGAGATGAAATGAACAGACAGATCAATTGGCAGACTTGCATTCAGAAGCAAAGTCCTTACTCGAGACTTCGCTGACAGTTGCTTCAAACTTGAAATTATTTAAATAGATTTAGTTTAGACGCCGGATGAAATAGTGAAACATTCTTCTCCATTGTGCAGAAATCTTTTACGGAAATGTAAAACCCATTTAGTCTGCCTCTATTATCCTTTCCGAAACATTTCTTTTACATAAAAAGCTCATTATTTGGTACATTGGGGCATCATTTTCCTGTGTTCCTGTAACATTATTTTTTTAACTCACTGTATTGCACCTTTTCACTTTTTAGTACGTATGAAGTATTTAAGGTTTTCATAAATAGTCGAAACATTTGCCATCCGGAAGCATCATAAATCTTATCTAGAAGCTTTCAGCAATTTTGTTTACGCGATATCTTCAGAATGTGATGGTACAACCATGAAGATGCTAACGATCTCAGGTCTGAGAAAATTATGAGATTAACTCAGAGTCCGGTTCAAGGATTTGTTTGATAAAGCGGCTCTAAAAGAAAATCGAATAATATTCTAATCTTTTCTGCTTTGGAAACCTTTCCTTGACCACAGTTGCGTTGGTGGATGATGGGAACACCGGTGAGACAGGCTTGCTTCCGAAGACGAATGTTTCCCTTGCCATGGCAGTGAGCGCTCTCTAGTATCAATATGAAGAAACCATTTCTAGCGATAACTTATCATAAATCTGATTTTGCTGTGCAAGTTCTCTTAGTCTCAGATAACAAAACACAAAAAAACGTAATCGAGTTATTTGAATGGCATTTAATGATTTGTAAATGATAATCGCTTTTAATTTATCATGTTTTACTCTTTATTTGCCTTATCTTTACTTATAGTTATAAAATTTCCTTCGTCAATTTATTCAGTATTTTTCTGTGTTGACTCTGAAACTCAAAAAGTTAGACCTTTTCTGCAGACAAATCATTATTCTGTTTTACATACTTTCTGCATAGTTGGACTCAGCGTTCCTATACATTGACAAAATTGACCTATTTTTAAACGCACCTATTGCTTCAGCTGTCCGTAATTCTCTGTGTATATTACAAATACTGAATTTTTCTTTAAGAAGGTTCTGTTCCACTTAAAATTCCCTCCATAATTCATAAATGATTTACTTTACGTTATATTCATGCTACACTGAACAACATGCATTTAGTAACGTTTCGATCGCGGATGCTTATTGTTCTTACTACATGAAGGTGTGCTTTAGCTAACGGAAAGAGGGGACAGCTTGGAACTTTGTGTACCCCGGACTACAAATGCTCAACGCCGAATACGGACTGCACATTTGGGTGGTGCGACTGCGTTGGCGGCTATGCGCGCAGTATTGACATGCAGGAATGTCTTAAAGGTCAGATCCATGTTAAAACTCTGATCAATGTTTATAATATAACAGTGAACGTTGTTTACATTAATAATAAAAATTAAATAATTATACTAATTTGATCTTAGCTTTCTGTATTGTTCAATTCATGTGTTCATCTTTACTGATCAATAATTTCCACCGTCATAACTTCTGTGGTAATTGGATTTCACTGTCTTATTAATATCGATAATAGGTTTTAACACTTATAGAGAAAGAATTTTATTCACAAGCGGTAGGAAAGAGTAATATATGAACCAGTGGGCAGGCCGCGTGAGAACAGATCTGCATACCTTGCTATGCACTAAAGACCGGGAAGGAAGTGATAAATTCAAACCGTTCAGTCCCTGTTCAGTAATTGGCTGTTAAACGAGTCCCAACGCAATAGAGATGTCCGATTGTTGTTCCCTATCATAAAGAGATATAAACGCTTCATGCAAGAATAAAAATAACACACCTGAACAGGTCCAGTTATAGTCTTCGTCTACTTCCGTCATAAAACAGTTTTCTGATTCATAAGGCTTATACTTCACAGTCGTTGAAAATTTCATAATCGCAATACAGTTTCTTCAGTCGTCGCCGGTTTCAATTCTATTTCCATGACCGCTTTACTTTTTGGTTCACGAAGTCAAACTTGTCAGACAGTTCTTCCAACGTTTCTGATATTGGCCAGCGTTTGGGCTTTGGCAGAAAACAACCAGAGTCTCGTTTAATACATTTGCCCCAGGAAAATCTTGGCCGTCCCCTGAATATTTTACTGATAGGTTTAGTAAGCAAAAGCTGTTTCATCTTCCTTCATGGAAGCATTCGTCACACGTGTTCAAATCATCGCATCCGCGACTAATCAGTCAGAAGAAGCAGTGGATGAATACCAACGCTGTCTCGAATATCTGAACTCCGGGCCATGTCGAGAAGCATCAATCCTTAAACACTGAGACTTCGGGCTCAACACTGCTTTAGTCACAACGGCTCGGGCCAGTTCATCCAGAATACGCTAGCTACTACAATAGGCCGATCGATCTCTTCCTAAAATTTTTCATCATTAGTAAATACGACTTTGAGGTACCTTTGATCTTTTGAGGTAACTTCTGATCTTGCTTCATTGTCTCTCCGTTAATCTGAAGGAAGCAAGGGGCGAGAGAACGAGAAAGCGCTGGTCTTTTCGTTTTAGATGCGTTTACATGCATACTGGTCACGTCGCATTCGGCTGCGATCCTTTTGATGCTAATAAAACAAACTCGTCTCTCGTCTGCAAACAGCAACCTTCTCGTCTCCACATCTCCTACGTTAATTCACTCATCGCTGTTGCTGCACCTCACTATTCTATCCATGTGAAACAAACAGGAGGGAGGCGACAGACTGCAGTTTTGGTGAGGACCAAGGTCAGCGGTGAAATTTTTCGACTTAATGTCATGCACTCTGACGCAGCACCTGCTTTCAGCATGTAGTGATTGGAGAGTCCGAGTTCGATGCAACGATCCCATATGTTCCCAGTGCATACACAGAGGGTTTTTCTAGGTTTACAAAGCATATGTACACTGGATAGCCGAACTCCCACGATTTCTCAATCTGGCGTAGGGCGGATGTCGGGTCAGATGTGCTTCGGCTAGGTCGAGAGCCACAATGCTCCATCCTGGAGTCAGTTATTTCGCTTCACGTCCTTTCAAGCACCCCTGCATAGACTTCAGCCGGCTGGCTCAATAAAATCATGCCCAAATGATTGGAGCACTACCGGTGGTGTCCCTTCCTGAACAAGGGTATTACAACCCTGTTTTTCCAGTCTGTTGGTATCTCTCCGCAGCCGCTGCAGTTTGACTGACACGTGTAAGCAAACAGATTCTTTGTGCGCCTATTGATTTAAGGATTTTGGGACGGATTTCATCAATTTCAGCTTCTTTCCTCCTTTTAAAGATTTTTACGCCTTATGTGATTTCATCTACGGAGATATTAATATCCACCCTCTGCTACTTTTCAGGCGAGTCTTCCTGCGGTTGCTCGGGGCTAAGGAGTTTCTTGAACTTGATCGCCTAAGAATGCCCTCATCCTCGGTGAGAGGTTGTCTAGTTTTGCCTTCAGAACTTTTAGACGGCCCTTCTTTTCACCACGGAGCCGTCGGATGGCCTGCCAAAATCACTTGTTTGCCGCCTGGAAATTCAATCTCAACACCTCATCGAATTTCTCCCAGGAATCAACTTTTGCTTTCGCCACTGCTTTCACAACCGCCTTACTCGCGTCTTCATACCTGATGGGAGTTGAAGGCTTTGCGTTTAAGCCATCTCTTTACTGCAGCCTTTTCCTCAGTGACAGCCGGTTGTCCCTTTGATGTCCACTAAGAAGTTCGTTTCTGACCTTGAGGCGGCAAGCCAACCCACTGATACCGCAAGATTCGGCGGCGGTACCGTGTAAGTCGCTCGTAAAGAGTTTCCATTCGTTTTCCAGCGGTTCATCATGGGGATTTGTTTAACTACTCGTACACGCAGAAGATAATGTTTCTTATCTGATTCTCTAGTTGCATGTGCTACCAGGTCAACGCATGGTACTCCATCTCTTACAACGCAGCTTGCAACAACACGGTGATAACTGATTCATAGCTCTGCACTATTCTTAGCGCGAACTTCCATCACAATCCGTCGTAAGTGACGTGATGTGATTATCAAATCGATCATCAACTTTCGTGCATAAGCTTCCCTGTGCCAGGTATACTGATGCGCGCATCGATGCTAGAAGAATGTGTTCATAATGGACAGTCCGTCGTTTGCACAAAACCGTAACTAGTTCATGCCATTACTGTTAAAGTCGTTAGTACCGTTTTTTCTATTCACACCTTTCCACTTGTCAGTGTTTGCTTCTACATGCATAATGAGCCCATTAAAATCGTCCATTGCCATTACAATGAGGGACCCCCCTAATTAGCACCTTGTACAAGCACATCCTCAAGTTTTCCCTCCAAACTGAGCGCATTAACATGTAGCAAGATCGAACCTTTAGCCTCTTGTGGCTTCAGTCTTAGAATGGGCACTCTTCCGTTGACACGCTTCCATTCAATTATTGCGTCCGCCAGAACACCAACACACGCCTTAACACGGGTTGTGATGTAGACACCTGAGTAGAACAGCATCCACCGGCAGAAGTTCAAAATTCCATAACCTTGGCTTTTCGTTGGCGAAAAACCAGCTATGTGGAGTTGGTACTTTGCGGCCTCACCAACTGGCTCCTGTTCTTCCCTCTGAGTGAGCATATGCTACAATTTCCGACGGTTAGCGTCCAGTATCGGTGTCATTCGCACAGAACCTTTCCTGACATGCGGTGATGGCATCGCGCTGTCTGCCTTCTCCGCTCAGAACAGGTAGCGGTTCCGTTGCTTATTGGCATCTTCGTCGCCGTTAACCGACCTTCGTATCGTACTCCAACGCCACCGGCTCTCAGAA